TTGGTGATTTTAACCTCAACAAAACACTATGCAGAGATTTTGAAGAGGCCTAGTCCAAGGCTGGGTCTACATCCAATTGAGATGCTCTGATATGACGCTAGACAGATCTGTCACGCATGAAAACCCCAAATCAACTTTGCAAAAAAGGATGTGGCTAAATTCCTTAAAATGTAAAAAGACTAATTACCAGTAACCTCACTTAATGAGTGGAACAACTAGCTTATCCTTTCAGGGGCGATCTTTGATAAATAGAATAGTTAGAAATAAATCTATTTTGCCATTTGTTCTTGTATTATTTATTTATTTTTGTTTGATTGGATGCGTTTTGAGATATTCTAGCCTACTTCATGTTGTCAGCAACAAGTGTGCTGGTGATGAGGCCAAGGTGTGGCTTTAGTGAAATTGAATTTAACTTTCTAAAGAAAATGTAAATGACAGGTAAATGATTTAAAAATTACTGAGATTTTTTTTCCACTTAGGGCTCAGATGAATAACTTTTTTTCCCTAAAAAAAAAAAAAACGTTTACAAAATGCTTTTGGTATGCAACTCAGGCTATTTTTGTCTGACGTCGAAACTGGATTTGGTACATTTAAGTTTGACAAACAAAATAGCCAAACTGGAAGAAATCTGTGAAAGGCACATGTTGAACCAACCTGCCTTCCCCTTTCGCTCTCTTCTATTATTTGCCTCACGCAGACACTGACACACACATGCGCACAATCACACTTCAATTGTGAGCTGTGGGAACGCTGGGCCCCCGGTGCTGGCCGTGCTGAGAGCTGACTGCAGAATACATTACCAGCTGCTTTTAAGAGGGTCTCATTCCAAGAGAACGGGGGGCGGGGGGATGAAAAACAGCACAAAACTGGAGAAAAAAAAACAGGAAAAGCAAAGACGAGAGCACATACACACACATACCCATCCCAACACTCATGTAGACCCCACCCATTTTAATACACACACAGTCACACTTTAATACCCCCACCCCTCTTCTCCTCTCTCGCTATCTCCACTCGTGCTTCTTCCTGTCCAGAGGATTGTCAGCAGCGGTCACATTATGTCCTTTCACTGTCCGTGATCAGGGGGTTGGGGTTGTAGCCACAGAGCAGGATCAACTCCAAGCATGAAGTTCAATATCGGGCCTCCCCCTTCTTTCTCCCCTCTCCCACTCCCTAACTTTACAATGAAAGCAGGAAGGGCAGGGAGAGGACGAATGAGCCACCCACTGCTGCATTCACCACTGAACACCCCCACGTGATTCTACTTCGTTTTTTTTCTCTCTCATTTTTTCTGCGTGTGAAACTTTTACATGAGACTTTAAAGGGAATTTTCGCTCTCAAACTCAAAAGCATGAGGATTGAACTGTACAAAAAAAAAAAGGGATTTGAAGATGAGCTCAAGCAAATGGAAGTCCCCAAGACATGTGTAGGGTGTTAAAGCTCAGTTTTTCCCGAGGCTTTAGGGACAGACTGTGATCCTGTCTAATATTTACTTTTGCAGATGTTCGAGGGCGAGCTTGCACAATCAATTTTCCTTCAATTCCCCGGTCAGCTCGGCCTTCAAACCTGCAGCTCCCCTCCCCTTCTTTTTTCTGTTAAACATGTGCATGCCTGTGAGAAACCATGGTGAGCTGGGTGTTTTCTTCTCTCTTATTACCCACTTGGATGTGTGTGTGTGTGTGTGATGTCCACTTGAATTGCACAGGAAGACAAAAAAAAAAAACAGAAAAGGAGAAGTGGGAAAAAACACAGTTTGGCCTTTTCCCTGCATCTTGGCTAAAGAGTCCACTTGGTGTTTTTTTTTAAATCCTCTGTGAATCTAAAGAGTATTTGGCAATTAGTATGCAGAAAGGAAGCTGTTTTGCATAATTAAGTGCTACAGAGAAGAAGCAACAAAGTTTGTTAGTTTTACATCTAAGAGTTTAATACTTGAACAAATAGTTATTACTCAGATAAAAGTTAAAAGATCATCATTCAGCACATTTTTTTTTAAACCGTCTTAAGAGACTTTTTATTCTTTAAAAAGGAGGCAGAGACAGATCCCATTAAAGTGGTTAATAATCACAGTAGTGGTAACAGTTAGTAACCTAAACTTGGCACCAAAGAGTAGATTAATGTTGTACTACACTGTTAATTGTCACACTCGTTGTCGTATACAAAAAAAAGCACAAAGGGCAAGCAATGCTGATCTCAAAGGCTCATAAAAAGTTAAAACAGAGAACTCCAGTTTATCAGGAAATAAAGTATTACTGATGGCACATGAAGGATAGTTTGACCTTAAACTGAATCTTTATCCATAATAAGGCATAATTTCTCTTATCTGAAAATGTCGTTTAATGTTTTTCTTTTTTCTTTTTTTTTTCTGGCGTACAAAATAGAATATAAAAATACAATATCAACTTGGTACAGAAGATATGACTGCATGGTTTCGCTCATTTGAAGGCATCACTTGGTTTGAATGTGTGAAAGTTAAACTGTGCTTTTGGACAAAAAAGCAGATACACATGCAAAACAAGAAGAAAAAAATAACAAACACAAAAACAAAGATAAATTTAACACTGTTCTAGTTTTAAAGATGCTTTTTAGTTGTTGCATCATCACTTTAACTCATACTTATGACTGCAAACAAAAGTATTGGCATCTCAACTGAAAAACACATGTAAAATATATTTGAAAAAAAAAACTATTGCAGCAGCATAATCTCTTAATGAAAATTGCAGAAAGCTTCACTCTTTATCTTCAGTATACTTAGTCAGTGGGAAAAAGTTTAATGTTAACAAAAAAATTCCCTCCATTTTTTTGTTTTTTGTTTTGCAGGTATAGTTTAGTTTCTAAATTGAAACTTTTAAACCATAACCCCATTTAATGTGCAAATAGAGTTCAAATCTGACATGACCCAGATTTATTTCTCTTCAGAATGAGAGAGAAAAGAGAACATGCCGTTCAAATCAATCAGATGAGCCATTATGAGGTTTACCAACTCTCCATGAAAATAAGAAAAGATTAAAGATGTGTGAGACTTTAAATGGAGCTGTGAGCAGGTAAGGCTCAACACAAACTATAAGAAACAAACTGGGTGCAAGGCAGTGCAAAATTTTTAAAATACAGATTTGATAGACTCCCAGAAAACTGAAAGTGGATCATATCTTGATCTTTCACAAGTATATGATAAATAAAAAAGTAAGAATGCTGTAAGAATGGATTACTTTTTCTCCCTCTGAAAAATGTTCTTAAATGATGAAATAATCAGACATTTTCACTGTTATTATGATACTGAAATATTGATAATTATATCCAAAAGGTTTGCATGCATCTTTGCAAAGGGTGCAAACAAATTTGTACGCTTCTGTATTTTGGCACAAAAAAAAAGGAAACAAAAATTGATTCATATTTCTTACATTCGTAACTCACCAAAATGAACCCCAAATAATATAATGTGGGGTTGGGAACAGAGGTGGTGTGGGGGGGCAAAAGTGGCAAAATCAAATAAGTTGATGGAGAACTGTGATAATTTCAATAAAATTGGAATTCAAAATTTAGTACACATAAGAATGACTATAATTATGCAAATGTTTCAATCTAACTCAAAACTCACACTTAAAAAAATAAAAACAATGAATTAAAATATGCATCCATACTGGTATAATCAAATATAATTATTTTCATTATTCATTAAAGTATTTTATAATAATTGTACTACATTTCATCACTAAATAATTGTGGCTCAACAAGTAGCCACTAACTAACATTATGTTTTTAGCTGTATTAGATTTTTATGGGTGAGAATGCCAGAGTAAGATTAATTATATATTTTATCATTTGTGAATTTAAGATATAATAAATTAAAACATTATTACACTTTTTCCAATTTTTTAAAAATTCTATACTTTTTAAAGTTCCAATATTTTATTGCAGTTTATTTATTGGATTTCAAATTTTATTGAAATAATCACATGTATGACTGGTTTTATATGATTTTATCTAAAATGATTTATTCATGTGTTTATTTTGCATTATGACATTTTTGGCCCTCTGTACTGCATCAAGACGTTTCAATTCAAATAAAAGAGTAGGTTTATGTGTGACATCGTTCCTTCACTCTCAATAAATAAAGGCACTGTTGTTCGAGGTCGTACAATACTGTAGTGTGAAAAAAGGCGAAGGCATCATTGTGAAAGGGACTCGGACAGAACTTTCCGTTTCTGTTTGTGGGTGTGGGTTTGTGTCTGGACTGCAGGATCTGGCATTTAGGAGATCATTTTTCCTTGCAGGGCACCTGTCACTTTATGGTGGAAAGGGTTTTGTGCTGGCATTTTCTTTTTCTGAATGATGGCTTTTTCGGTGTCAAGATAGATTTTTGTTGGTTTTTTTAAACATATGCATGTTTTAACACCGTTTGTGAATGTTACATTGCAGTTAAAACTCGCTGCGAAGAAGCACTCACTAAGGGGACAAATACAATAAAATCTTAACACACGTCCCATAGTTTAGTGTGTATGGAGGGTTTTCTGTGCTGATAAGTAACACCAGTATCAGTATAGTTACCATGTTATTAATAGTCATTATTGCATGGCATGGCAGCACAGCAGGATAGGAATCAGTTTAGAAAGCCCTTCTCCAGTTTGGAGCCCACACCCTTGTAAAGTCAAACAGCTGTCACAGATTGTAATTTTGATATTCAGAGAAGATTCTTAGACTGGCTTTGGGATTTTAGAAGGAAGGCACATTTGGTAAAGTGATGGGAAGGGGCTGTGAGGTGGGGTCCTGAGGTTTATTCCCGGGATCGCTGTCATCTGGTTGGCTGGTTTAGATACAGGAAGCAGCAGCAGCCGGCTTGTTCCCAATGTTCTGGTCTCTTGTTGGCTGAGCTGCGGGCCAATGAGCACGCCAGCGGGCAGAGATGGGTGGGTCATCAGTGGGCGGAAAGGTCAGAAGGTCAAGGGGCAGGGCGGAGGGGGTGGGGTCATGGGTTAGTTGCCGTGGCAGCTAGAGTTAGACGGACAGAGACGGACAGACGAGGAAAGGAAACAAAAAGGGCACATAAAAGGGGGGGACATAAAAAGAAAAAAAGATAGAAGAGAGATTAGTGTCAGCTAGTGGCGTCGGGATGACAACAAGGCAGATCTAGTGCGGTCCGCGCAGCGTGAGGGTCGTTACGAAACGCCTGCATGAGCACCGCAGAACCATTCACAAGGACTCGCATCAACCTTGGTGTGTTGACACAAGGAATGGCTGGTTAGAGATGCTCCCATGTGCTCATGGAGGCATCTGCAGGGTTTCCCTCCTGCTGCCAGACTGCTGCTATAGTGACACTACTCATGCTAGCTGGGCTATGTCTAGCACAGACAGACAGTGAAACCATGGACAAGAGAGGGAGGCAGCATGGTTTCATGTGGGTGAGAGAGTGACCTTTATGTCCAAAGAAAAGTTCTCCAGGCCTTTCACTCACTGACAAGTAGAGCTATTGTTTAGAGCAGTAGGAGTAAGATCTGGATGATTAAGAGTTGTGATTAACTGATTATTGGTTTTCAGGTCCATCTCAATAAATTAGAATATCAATGAAAGGGTAGTTTATTTCAGTAATTTAGTTCAAAATAGGTTTAATACACAGAGAGAGAGAGAGAGAGATTTCAAGCGTTTGGTTAATTTTGATGATGATTATGGCTTACAGTTAATGAAAACCTAAAATTTTCTCAGAATATATTGTCTAAAAAGTCATGGAGAAAGCTGCTTGACTTGACAGTTGTCCAGCGGATAGTCACTGAAATCACAAAAACTCTTTTAAGTGTTGTTTCCAAGTGTACTGGTGGAAAGTTGAGTGGAAGGTGAAAAGTATAGGGGGCGGAAAGGGGAAAATGCAGAAGCAATAGCGACAGCCTTTAGAAGATTGTGAACTGCAGTTGGAGTCTGTGCTTTGAGACCCAGCATTGCATTCCTAATGTTAAAACCACACTTGCAAATAAAAGGCTTTAGATGAAAATCAGTTTGTATTTCATTTGGAAATCCATTTCCCGAAGTCTGGGGGAAGAGCAGAAAGGCAAAGAATCCAAGCTGCATGAAGTCCAGTGCGACGTTCTCACAGTCAGTGGGAAAATGTGATCAGTGATTCATGCAAAAGGAGCCCCATATTGAGGCACTGTACTGTAGGCTTTTCAGCAAACTAACATTTCTGTCTTAAAAAAATAATCTTTTAATTGGTTTTATGCTGTTTCCTTCTTTACAGAGGGAGTGCATTTTTTATTTTTATTTGCTGTAAGCCATAATCATTCCAACAGCTGAAACATATCACTCTGTATGTAACAAATCCATAAAAAATGCAGGAGTTTCAGTTTTTGAATTGAATTACTGAAATAAATCAAATGATCAGGGACACTCTACTGTACTGAGATGTACCTGTATTGACTATGAAGTATTAGAGCAGCACCTAGTGCAGTAAAGACAGTAATGAGAGGTTAACAGATGACTTTAGAAGGACTTGAGGGACAATTTAACAATAAACAGGCTAAACTACAAGAATTTCCAGGCTTTGGTTTGATTTGGAGATTTGTTTCAATACTCATCTTTATTGCCTTTTAGTGTTTTTTGTCCATCGTATACAATAGGAGCACCACTGCTCGCACACACACACACACACACATATATATATATCTATATATCTATATATATATAAATATATATATATTGTAGCTAGCTAATCCATTTCTCAATTTCTATTGCATATAACAGTCTGGAGGCCTGCAAAATCAAGAAGGTCACCTCATCTTAAATACACAGAAAAACACTGCCTTCATTGCCACCTTCGCGGTGACTAAAACAGTAGTAGCTACACATTTTGAATACAGTTTACATGGAGACACTTCATCTATAAAAAGCATATCATAAAACAAAACAAAAAAAATTTACAAACTAAAAAAAACTACAGGTATTTCCAGGCGATCTTGTTCCGTAAGCTTCATATAAGCACTTAAATCCTTAAAATCCCTATATACAAATTTATTTTGCAGCTAAATACATGGTAACAGCACCACTCTGGCTAGGAAATAAATGAAAGATGTAAACAGTCCCAATGATAAAGTCCAGTGGGCGACTGATAAGACCACAAGCAACAGTATTTCATACAAAAGAGCTCGTAACACAGACTTCAGTAGTTATCACACGCTGTGTCATCTCATATTTTACTTTAACTGTCATGTGAGAATTGGGAATTACACAGGATTTAATTCATTATATATATATAAAAACAACAAAAATCTGTGGAAATCTAGTGGAATGAAGTTGAGTATAAATAAAAGTTTCCACAGTGTTTACTTGATCAGAAGTAGTACTTAGGTGGAGAAATGTAACGTTTTCAGAGAGACGACTCAGAGGAGTCACAAGGGCCGAGTCACATGAGCGGGCCGCGGCCCTGCGAGCTGTCCGGTTTGGGCAAACAGGCGAGCAGCTGTCACCTCCACAATCCCATCACACATTTCACTTTCACACGTTACGCCTGCTGCGATTTCATCTTTTTCTTTTAAGGCATGCCTTATTAAAGACTCGTGTAAACTGGAATTGGTCCATTGGTCTGCATGCACACACACTAACTCACACACAGATACACATAAGAGTGGCTGGTGAGCTAACTAACCTCTGTCTGTGGTCACTACCCTTTGGTAAGGATGGATTCTCTTGTCGTGGCGTCGTACCTTAGTGGTCATGGCACCTGCTAACAGTCATTGATATTTCCCCCAAAAACAAAACACAGAAGGGTTACTCATCAGAAAGACAACAGACAGTCCCACCCAAGGCACCAACGTCAGTGACACCAGGAATTTACAAGTTCTTGAGTCTGAGGGTGAAAAAGGGTGGAAAAAAAAAAGCCTCTTAAAGAGAATCTTTTGTTGTTTTGTGGTCTTCTGCTCCCTAAAGAAAATATTAATCCACACTGCTAGTTTTCAACTAACCTTAACTAGTAGATTCAAAATCAGCTTTAAGCAAAAGTCACATTTATAGCTCTGTGATCAAAACAAGCTTTTACCATATGTTAAATCGCAAACAGCAGCTCTAAAACATCTACAGGTTCACTAAAATGCGTTAAAAATTACAAGCAGAAGCTGAATTATTATAAAAAGGTAAGTAGTTATCACACCACAATGCTAGATAGCTACGACAAACATAGGGAAATTAACAGGAATCTCTCATCCTAAAGTAGAAACAAACTGACTGTCTGCTCTGTGGGATAACTATATGTTTGTGTGGGGTGAATGGTGGTGAAGGGTGTGCGTGTGTGTGAGGGGGAGCAGGTGAGGGTGGGGGTCTCTGCAAGCCAGTCCAGGTGTGTGCTAGGAAGGGATTGCTATTGCTTAGCCTTTGGTTGGGAATGCCATACCTGCAAAAACACAGGGAGAAGGGACTGTTAGCCCAGCAATGAGCCTCAGCAGGTTTCTGTGTGTGATGTGGATGTATTACAAGAACTGGACATGGCAGCCAATCGGTGCCAGAGGTGAAAATCCTCAGTTCCTGGTTCTGATACGAAACCAAGACCAAGAAGAAAGAAATAAGAGAAAGATAAAGTCATTTCTTTGGCGCTGTTGAATGCCCAACACAAAGTTTTTGTCATCCATAGTAAAGATATCAAAAGGTTTTAAATTAATTTCAGATTTTTTTATTTTTTATATCCAATTGCTAATATGAGAACTTTGTTCCCAAAACATTTAAAATAAATATATTTTATATTGGCTTTTGGCCAACTGACATGAGGTGATCAGCAACAGGTTGGGGAGGGTGTAGAGTGGCACTAATCTATGCCTCATACAGCCAGACATAATTGTGGTTCATCTCTGGTGTATCGGATAAAATATTGGATATACCTTCATAGAAATGGGCATCAATTACATAATTAATTTTGGAAAAAAATTATGAGCACAATAAAAGCTGTGTTTTATCACAATAAAGTTACAAAAACATTACTACTTGCCCTAAAAACGTAAGAATGGTTGGAATTGTTTCTTTTTCTGTTTTTAACTTTTGAACTGTTGTTCAGTGAGAGCGTGAATATTTTCAGTATGTCTCCAGGCAGTTATTGTGTAGCTATAGCTATAGCTTTAGTGGTGCACCTACACTTCTTATAATGTAACTGGTGTGCAAAAGTAGCATGTCTGATAACGTGTTAATAGATTTTTAAAAGCAGTATTTATGTTTGAATGGGTATAAACTGTGCAGTTTATTCATGTCATTGATTACTGAATATTTATTATTTATGCATGACAGGAGAAGCAAAAGGGAAAAAAAGCAACAGAAAGATTTTATTATATTTCTATTGAGGGGAAGGTTTAGTAAGAAGCTAAAAGCGACACTTCTCCATCCTTTCTATATTCTGACTAACTCTACGTAATTGGAGATCTGATTATCTGTTAATACAAACTTTCATTGGTCCCCAGTGTCCAGTTCTCGTAATACATCCATTGACTATTTATGAAAGTGATAGACTGTTGCTTGGTATGTACCTAATACTCCAGTTGAGTCAATCGGGTATTCCAATATGGAGGGCGTGAGTGTGTAGGGATACTCGTAAGGCGTGTAGATGATTCCAGATTCGGGTCCTTGCTGCACCAGTGCTGGATGTGGATTGGCTCCCGGCACAAGGGCGGAGCTTTGGATCTGACGGATCAGAGGCATGATGGTGGGCGTGGTCACCGGGGCAGGGTTTCGCAGGTTGGGAGGCAGGACGGGTGTTGGGCCTGTGATGATTCGAGGCGCCTGAGGGGTCGCTAGCGGGAAGCCGGCAGTGGCTGCGCGGCGAAGCAAACGTACAATAATGCGAGTGTGCACACACCCACATGAGCGCACATACAATAGACAGGGAAGAAGAGGAGAGCACAAACAGTCTATTTAACAAGAGGAACAGAGGCATTGTTCATATTACAGTGAAGTCCTGTACTGAGACCCTTCCTTTATCACCCACTCACCCTCCTCCACATGTTAACTATGAGGTCATGCTTACGTGTCTTGACATTGGCATCTCTGTAGGTCCCATTGAGAATGGCCAGCTCCATCAGCTGCATTTTCTTCAGGTTGTCCTCCCCCTCAGCCTGTAGCAGCACAGGCAAACAGAAAAGCACAATCAGATCACAGCAATAACTGACACTCAAAGGCAAATGAAGAAAATGTTGTCAGAAAATGTCTGGAAGTTATACAGGATGCTCGATTTGAACTAGTACTTTGCGTATGTAGAAGTTTCAGAGGTTATGAGTTCAAAGGTCAAAGTGCAAAAAGTAGATAATTAAAAATTAGCTCGTGTAACGATACCAACATTTCTTGTCAGAGAAAGGATACTACCTGCAATTAGGACATTTACTTAAAAGCATTTACTTACTTATTTCTAAGCTGTGCTACATAGGTACATTTAAATAAATTATAATTTCATTGAAAAGTAAATTGATGGACTGTACAGTTGTTATTGCTTTGCTTTACAACAATAAAGTACTAAATTTCTACTGAGGGCCGCGCATCCTCTCCCCTAGTACTTCTATACCCCCTTTAATGGAAGAAATTAAATTATTAAAAAATGTTGAACTCATATTTTATACAGAGCAATAGCACAAATATTATCATATGTTATTTGGTTATTTTGGTTAATTTGGGCAATTATGGTTTACTTGGAATAAAAGTCCAAGATTTGTATATAAAAACAACAAAAAATAATTTTCAAGACACCATCATGGAGAAGACCATTGACTTCACAGGTATCCAGCAGATAGTCCTATGAACCCTCTATAAGGAAGACAGGATTGTAAAAGAAAATTGAATGGAAGGAAAAAGTGAGCTTAACAAAGGTTATAAGGATTATCACTGGTTTGAGCCAAGCTCATTTAATATTTTGAGAAATATTCACAAGGCATGGACAGCAGTGCTTAGAGACACTATCCCATATCCAGGACATGGACGACTGCTGATGAATTCCTTGCGTTAAGCCACCCTTCAAATCAAAACAATGTCAAACGCGTCGTGCATAGACTAGACTAGAGAAAACAGAACAAACAGTTTTGTCTACTGCTGCCCAGTAGACAAAACTCTCCTTTAAGATAAAATTAAATGTATCATTAAAATGGAAATTTACGGTGCCAGAGACTGGAGGAGGAGTGAAGTCCAGTGAGAAATGAAAAAGTGAGGTTCAGGTATAAGTATTGCTCACTTTTTCCTTCCTTTTAGAGCCACAGTACCCATTTTCTGATGTCTACTTCTTGGCAGGATAATCCCCCATGCCTCAAAGCTCAAGTCATCTCAAGCTATTTTTTGAACATCGCAATGAGTTTAGTCTGAGATCACTGGTTCTCAGGCCAGCAGTTTAAAATATTGTTTGAGTAAAATAACATCTACAATACCGCATTAAACCTGACAAAGATACAAATACGAAAACCAAGTAAATCAGTCAAAATTTTCCACTGCTTCTTACAGTGGAGAGAAGAATTTGGCTGAATGAACAAAAGGTTTACTGGTAGAGTGCAAATCAATTGCACTTTACCCTTTGTAGCCAGTATCTCCAACTAGATGGGTAAAGAACAAAAATTCCTCTCCCAAGAACGATTTCTACAGGACACTATCTTATTATCTGCGAAACTAAACTATGTTGTCAACAAACCATTTTTATCAATATTAAATTCGCCAAGTCATCTTATCAATCAATCAATCAAATTTTTATTTGTATAGCACATTTCAGCAGTAAGACATTTCAAAGTGCTTTAACAAACACAAAAACACAAAGTTATCAAGTGGGGGGTTCTTGCATCCACAAAAGGTTTACTGGTTACACTCCTACTGTGTTATAAGGAACAAAATACCTATTGGTATTTTTATTCCCAGTCACGCTCACAATCACGCAGTTTACAATGGTGTTAACAGCCTTTCAACGGGCTTCTGGCACGAAACTCCGTACATCTCTTTCACGGAATTTCGAGCAGGGATTCTGTCGCCCCTCACGGATTTTTGTGCAATTCTATGGTACCTGTAAGTGTCTAGAATTTATAGGGTTTCTGTTATGCATCATGACCCTCAGTCACTCGCAGTTTTTCTTCCAACACGAGGTTCTGTACATCTCTTTCACGTATTTTTGTGCAATTGCAACATAGAATCAACAATCAAAACATGACATGAAGTCACTGCAGTATGTTCTTGTAGATTGCAGTTGAGATACGGTAGAAGCTGAAATGCTTGTTCACCACCATACATAACTAATTATAGTGCTGCTTGATTCAGTCAGATCCATTGAGAAATCAAGAAATCCTAATGCCCAAAAACACTCTCTTAAAGATTCTGAAGATCCTACTGTGTTCCCAAATGAGACAACATATATTCCCATCATTAAGTTAAAAGATTTGCCAAATATTTTCTCCCAGTGGGACACGCAACACCCAGTCACCCAGACACCCAGGCATCAAGGTCTAAATCTTGATGCCTGAACCCCTGAGCTGATTCCTTTCAGTGTTTCTGGCTCTATTCTATGAGGAGGAAGCTCTATACAGGAAGTTGATTGTGTTGGGGCTTTGTCTTTTCAGTTATAATCTATATCTCATAAACTTAGACAAGGCTGCGCTCTTTCTTTAGTACAAGAGACATGCAGTGCCAATATTACCAATATTACCACAGACGGAGCCCCAATACATCTATCCATCTGCCCCTTCATCTTGACATCCCATGTAAAAAAGACACAAGGACACTTGAATTCTTTCACTTGAAGCAGAAATAGATCCTCAACTTGTAGGGAGCAGTCAACCCCTTTCTGGTTGAGAGTCACGGACTCAGACTCAGAGACTTCCATGTCAATAGACAGAACTCTCTGATGAATATTTCTGACACCTTGTTGAATCTATGCCAAGGAGGATTAAAGCAGTTCAAAAGCAATGAAGAGTTCTAGCAAAGTGTATCGAACAAAATTGTTGTTTCTTTTAGGTTACTTCATAAGGATTTGAGTAAAAAGTCTGATTCTATGAAAGTGCGTTTTTTGTTGAAGGTCATCACACCATGAGGTTCTCCTACTAGCACAAAAGCCAGTCACAAAACAAATCTCAGATCTTTTGAACTGGACTTGCCCAGAGTTTGAATCCAACCACCTCACCACACAGGACATATTCAGTGTCAAACACGCTTGCTTCTTAGCTCTAGTTACAGCCCAGTGAAAAGCTTGACTGATTTACATTCTGAGTGAAAGGTCAGCTGGGTTAAACTAACACATATCATTGACTTTGCTCGCTGCTCATACAGACGCATGCATGTACAAACACGGATTAACAGGTGCTCAGCTCCTGACGGCCTATAGACAGTGAGGGTTGCCTATCCTGCGAGGGAACTGGAAGTGACAACTAATTGTTGCAACAGAAGCCCACCCCACTAGTCCTTTCAGCCTCTGTCTATTGTCGTGAATAATGAAGAGACGAAAAAGGAAGGAGTCTTGTGATTACGAAATATCTGCTTTTCTTTGTGTGAGTCTTGTGTGTGTTCGCATCCTCTGATGTGCTTGTTTAGTCCTCACATCAGTGGATGTACATGTGTGTCTGTAGTGAGGCGATAGGTGGGCTGCAGAATGTCAGAAATGTTGAGGAGTGCCATCAAAATGTTCTCCTGTGAGGACCCGAAAAACCCCAGAAAGAAAACCCAGAGAGCAGAAGGAGTACTGTAGCCGGTAGTTGGGAACGAAGTAAGTTGTGAACGAGTGAAAGGAGTGATGGAGTGGGGAGAAGGAGTGAACAGACTCTCCATTCATTCCCTCAGCCTTTCAAACAACCCGGGGCTGCCATGGCAACCCCTTTATGCGTGTTCCCTAATTACCCTAACCCCTTACACATACCCTCATACACACAAGGACACACACACACTCTTCTTAGACTGACAGTCCCCTTCCCCCTTCCATGCATACCAACACAGTGAGCTCTCATCCAGTCACAGAGTGTTTTTCTGCGAGTAAAACTTTGTGCTCCGTGATTTTTCTCCGGTACTCACAGCGGGCACCAGAAGTTTCTTGACCTCGTTGATGGCTCGCTGGAGCTTGATCTTGGCGCGGTTGTGCGTGTCCTCCACAGTGATCAGGACGTGAAGGTCCTCGCTGAGGTGCTCCCAGTTGGGTTTCCCTCGGTTCATCTCCTCCTGAAAAGCACACAAATGTTTTAAAAACCTTTGAATTTGAATGCGCCACAGCCAATCTCAGAACAGGATTTCTCTTCTCCTCTTCTTCTCACTTGGCTTGGTTTTTGGATCATGCACAACAAACACACAAAACACTCAAGGTTGTCTAACGCGGCTTAGGGGGGTACACTTGTCTCGTGAAACGACCATGTTGTTCCTGAGTGGTTACACAAGATTGATGTTGCATTTTAGTGGCTGTTCAGTACTCTGATTCTTTGTGTATTACTTCCCGAAACCTCCCATCTCTGTAGTAGGCTGTGTACTCCAACAAGGTTTTAATGACCATTAGAAGAGTCTCAAGCTCTCAGCTTCCCCATGTAAATTAACATGGGCAATTTTTCTGTACATTTAAGACAAGTCTTAATTGTGTTTTGCCAAAAAGCTCAGTTAGGCTATATTCACATCAACCCTGTTTATTCTACTTTAATCAAACTGCAGCTCATTTGCAGAGAAAGTCTAGTTCAGTTGGGTAGGTGTGAATGCACAATCAAACTCCGATGTGGACAAAAAAGCACACCTAAAAATCTAAACTTTGGTTCTGTTGAAGTGAATTCTGCTGTGGTTTGAATGACTGATTTGAATAATTCAAGAGGACCAGAGACTGTTCAAAAAGCAAGGAGCAAACTAATGTGTAGTACATTTTGGGTAAATACAATTCAAAGCAAAAATGTGCACGTCTCAGGAGAAATGGCCCAGGGTCTTTTGTCAAAGATAAAAAGTAAATCCTGCAAATACTAAAATCTCATGCCATTCCACTTTGGTTTACATTTCGTAAAGAAGGAAGATGCGCTCAGTGTCTTATTCAGAGGTTTTTGTGGTGTTTCCTTCAGTGGTTCTTAATCCAGGCCTCCACAAGCAAGGGGGTAGGGACACGTTTCTCAAAGGGTTTGGTTTGGTTTGTTTGGCACAATGCACTATGAAAGTGAACTGTATTCGCTGAAAATGAAACAAATGTTGCAATTTTAGTCCCCAATCAAACCGAGTCTACTTGAGTTTCAGAAGGTCTTTGCCTATCTGAACAACTCTAGGAAAATTTAGCAATCCCACAAACTAGCTGATTGGAGGGATAGAGATACAGATTTTTTTTTTCTATTCTACTTTCATCCTTCCAACTTCTTATCAGGGCTATTAAAATCAAATCCCATACCTTCCAGACTTTTAAAGAGAGTTAGAGTCCTTGATTATCCATGCTTATTTCTCGTGAAAAACAACTAATTATTTGGCACATATTCGCACAAATGAATGATAACCTTTTCATGTGCCCAAGTGAGCAAGAAAAGATTAAACCACTGTAAAGTAAGCAAACACATATCAGTTTAGATATGTTTCAGCTTTGTGGGACTTGTTCCCAAGATTTGGAAAGGATCCAGGTGACAACAGCAGAAATAGGTCAACTGCCTCTGGTTGTTCACAGATCCTGGCTAGTCGATGCTCTTTGGGAAATAAAGTATATTTACATTCGCAGCAGGGAGTTGAGGATTGCATCAAAAATGGTGACTCAAGACATGTGTGGAGTCACATTCCAGTGCCAGGTGTGCACGTATGTACTCATAGCTGTCCACTTGTGATTGGGTGACAAGAGTTGATCAAAACCATCACCCTTAACCTCTGAAGATCACTCCACCCTCTATGAGTTTTTTTTTTTTATCAACTGGAAGATAGTGAAGAATGTAAGTAGGTCATAGCAGTCAGTTGTAGTCAAAGCAACGGCTAAAAATTGTGAATCTTGTATCTTTGCGTGGCCTTCTTGCAAACGGTTTCCTCTGAGGCTGTTTTGTCAAGTGAGATGTATCATTCTGAGGAACACTGAAAGTCAACATCTTTTTCTCTTCTTCCCCAGTTGCCTCCCACTGTGTCTCTGTTTTCCTTCCTCTCTCTCTCTGCATGTTTCTCTGTGTGTCTCCCTTTGAGGGGCGTGCAGGGTAGGGAATGTTCTGGAAAGAAGAAGAGAGAGAGTGAGCGAGGGAGACAGGAGAGGGGGCGGAGGTGGTGGAGGAATGCTGGACTTGCTCCACCTGCCGTTTGGAAGAGCTGGAACCGACTCCGTCCAATAGCAGACACCAGGGGAGAGGAAGGGAGGACAGATGGACTGAACACCAGGATAGGAAAGCAAAACTCAGCCCAGAAGGATATACAAAAGGTCTCGCAAAAGTATTCACACCCTTTGAAGTCTTTTACATTTTGGTACGCTGCATCCCCAAACATTGATGCATTTTATTGTGATCTTAATTGTTAGGTAACTCACTGTATTGCATAATTTCAAGGTGAAAATATATGTTTTCCAAATAGAAATCTGAAAGTTATGATGTGCTGGGATGATGCGTTCATCCCATTTGAGGCAATACTTGCAGACACTTAGGTTGCATTTACAGCTTCTGAGGTTTGTCTCTTCCAGCTTTACATATGTAGAAGCTGAGTTTTCACCCATCCTTTTTTTGCAATAAGGTTGAATGGAGAGCATCTATAAAAATAAATTTTCAAGTTCTGTCACAGATTTCCAATTGGCTCTAGATGTAGACTTAGACTCGGCCATTCTACCACATGGAAATAACTTGATTTGACCCCTCAAAGGCTTAAAACTTGACCAAAATGTGACACGTAAAGGGTAAAGACTTGACTTCAGCTGATCATGACAGACTTGGCACATTACCTGACCCTCAAAGAATTGAGAGCTGCCTTGAACTTGAACTGAAAAACTTGAGACTCAACTTGGACTTGCCACTCAAAAACTTTAAATCTTGATGAGAAAGATCTGAAATTTGGGGGAGTTGTCCCTTGATAACTTGTGAAGTCACTTCAACATAAGGCAAAACACTTGAGATCTGATTAACTTGAAACTTGACATGGTCTTTTCTGTTAAAGACTAAAGGCTTGAAGTAAAGTTGCCCTTTTGAGAATTGAAACATGACTTTAAATTGTCAAAAAAAGATGTGAAACTTCACTTGGTCACGCCCCTTGTAGAAAAAGGACACAATCTTGCCCCTCACAATTTGAAACCTGACATTGATTTGTGTCTCACAAGGTTTGAGAACTAGCTTTGATTTGCTCTTTATACTTCAGACTTCGCTTGGGCTTTTAACATATGGACTTGAGACTTGACCTGAGGTAAAAAAAAAAACATGAAATATGAACAGTTGGTCAGCAAAGACTTGGGACCAGGTTTTGGCTTTCTCTTTATCAGCTTAACTTGGGGTGAAAGGTAAGTGACTTAACTTGGACGTCTCCCTTAAAGACTTATATCTGACTTGAACTTTACCTTCGAGGACTTGATTTATAAAAATGAGCTTGTGAATATTGCTGTTCAACACTGACAGCTGCACAGAGAAGGGTGGTAGCATGGTCAATGGTAAAAAGCTATATTGCTGTATTTCAGCTACTTGTTGGCCAGAGCTGACTGGTGTGTTGGACAGTATGCACATTGGAAGGTAAAAGTGTGTGGCTTCTGTGATTTTCAAGATGTTTACCTTCTTCTTGTCTCTCATGGAGCCCTTTCCTCGCACCATAATCTTGCAGCCGGTCTCTGCCTCTAGCTGCTTGGCTGTCAGGCCACGTGGACCCAGGATCCTTCCTACAAAATTGAACTGCACAAAAGGAGTAAAAAATTACAAAATTAACAAGACTGCATGAGAAGTGTAGAGCTACCCCTCAGAGCAAAATTGTTTGTTTTTTAGTGCATGAATTAGTACAATGATATCTTTTAAGTTTGCGGAGCTGTAAAGTGTTTGTGTTAGTAAGAGAGACAAAAATAGCTCATTATATGTGTTGCTGGCTGGTGTTGGTGGTATGACCGGACACTGTCGTACTCTTAACCTTATCTGTCACTACGGCTGAGTGATTAACTTGACAGGTGCCTCTTCGTGTGTGTTATTTCTTTGCCAATAACCCTACGTCTCTGTCGTTTTTTTAAATAACAATTGGTCAGCCTTATCCCGCTTTAATTTTTATGTCATTTTCTCTCAATGTGTTCTGAGGTTTACTTAGGTACTCATTCAAATCCATTCTGACCCCCTCTGCTCACCGCAACACACGGATCCAGACAGAGGAACTGCTCACTAAATTTAACCTTGATGTCAACGGTTTTCCAAAGCACTCCTGCGTGCGTCCTGTTAGCCTGCCGTCATGTGAATTAGGACAGCCCGGCATTGTAATGGGTGATTGGCGAGCTGATGCGTGGAGAAAATCATGTGAGCCATGCAATGTGGATCAACCAGCTCATACTGAAATCCCTGCAGTGCTGTGAAAAACTATTTTCCCCTTTACAGATTTCGTCAGATTTTTCTTTTTAGACATTATAATTAGATGTTTTAGATCATCAAAATAATTGTAATATCAGAGAAATATAACAAGATTTATTAGAAAAAAAAAAAATTTCTGATGATTTAATTTTGAAGGAAGAAAAAGCTATTCTAACTAATTTGGTAAAAAGGTAATTGCACCTAAACCCATCAGCTGCCATTAATTGTTTGTAATAACTTACAATGAGTCTTTTACATCACCGTAGAAGAATTTTGTTCAATTCTTCTAAACATTATTGTTTTAATTCAACCCCAATATAAAATTTTTGATCAACAGTCATATTCAATCAGTTATTAGGATATATGTCCAAATGAGCCTCATTTGTCAGATTAAACAAACGATTTAAAAATGGCAACATTTAAGCAGGTGTTGTACATACTCGTCATTAAGCCCACATTCCTGTTTTGGAAAATAGATTATTTTATTGGTCTGAAATGATTTTCTAATTTTAGATATCATGTTTTCATTAGCAGTAAGAGAAAAGTCAGAACAGAAATAAAAGTTTTCAAACATCCACATGTGTGCAATTAATCAATACAATCGGTTTCGCTTAGTCATAAAGCTCCTAAAATAAATTCGCTTTTCAAAAATATTTTCAATTATTGAATGGGTCTGTAACTTAAATCCAGGCTTTGACTGGGCCACTCCCAAACTAAAATTCTTCCAGCTTGAGCATTACTAATTACTACTAGTTTATTTAATAAACACTTTAAAACAACAGTATCTGTGAGATAGTGCTGTGCAGATAAAAATCATTAAACATTTAAAATATAACTACAGCTGATGGCTTCAGCAAGTGATCCTTGTCCAAAATATGCAAATGTTCCAACAGTCATACAATCATCATCATCTTTTACTGTTGGGTTGATGTTATCTTTTAGTTGAAAAGCTGAGTGAGCTATTTTTGCCTACTTCATGATGTCAAACAGGTTCTATCTATGTAACTCCTCAACTCTGCAGGTCTGGCAGTCATCAGGCCTGCAATTCGTTGTTGAAACTGAACCAAATGCGTTTAATCACGCATACTCATGATTTAATAAGGTGGCAATTACTTTTTCATGTAGTTGAAAAAGTAGTTGACACCTTAACAATTTATTTATTAACAATGATAAAGAAAATCATTGTTGAAAACTTGCATTCTATAATGCAAGTTTGAATTTTAAATTAAAATTATTTTGATGATCTCAAATATTTAAGTGTGATAAACGACCAAAATCAGAATGAAACTGTACAGGAGCAAATGCTCTTTTAAAGCACTGGTATGCTGTTGCAGTGCAGTTTAAAGCATGACTTTTTTTCAATAAAACACCTTGTGTTAACCTTAATCACACAAATTATTTTATTTTATAAAATCTAGTCCCAGTAGAGCCACTGGTCCTGATGCATTATTGACCCATTCAGCTCTAGATTACATCACTGGGTGTGAGCACAGATGATCTCAGAATGAAATCAGCTTCTAGATAAAATTTAAAGTAAAACATCCCCATTATCTGCCAGACAGTCAGCCTTACTGACTGTCTGGCACTTTCTGCAGCTTGGAAAGGATAAAGAGACAACAAACCAAGGTAAACAGAAGCGCTTTCAAAATAAAAAAAGGGGTCAAAGGTCTCAGATTTTTGTCCACTCACATCGGGGTACTCTTTGACAGGCACGTAGAGCTTCTCCTGCAGCTGAGCAACAGGTCCGATGGCCTCGGGGAGCTCCTCCATGTCCCGCCCGTTGAACATGCCACCATTTAGCGTGTCGTTGTACATGTCTTTGCGCACCCTGCCGATCTCTTTGAGACAGAGATCAGAAAAAAAAGAGAGGTTATGTTGATTGAACTGAAGAGGTTTCACATTTCTTTTGTCAGACTGTCCACTGCTGAGGATGAGTCACTGTCACCAGTATTAAAGGAAGCTCTGAGTGTGACAGCTGAAAGACATACAGGAAGACAAACATAAGTATTCTGCACCACCATGTAGAATCTAACTGTTTTATTAACCCTGCAGCATTACAGCTAATTTTCTGTCCTATTCCGTTTTTTTCTCTCTTTAACGCTAACACAGGATATTAACCCCAATACTCTGTAAACAATGTGAGAAAGAAACATTAACTTCACTTTTTTTTTCTTTACCATTTATTCACTGTTTATTCATAGAACGTGATGTTGACATCTAGGTGTCAGGTATTTGATATATTTTGTGGTATTTATATTTCAATACCACAAGAAAAAGTATTCGAAGCTGTCACTGCAAACAGCCAGAGCCACACAAAACAAATACAATTCTAAAAATACAATATACCTACGATCTGAAAGTCTCCTGCTCTACCACGGTTAACCCTTTTGGTGCTGCTGAACAGTACAAAGTAACAGCATTTAATCTTACTTTGAAATGTAAACACAACATTTACTGATAGAGATGAACCAATCAGGCCAACACCAATATTGTTTTTCTTTCCATTGCAGGGTGACCTGCTGCTCCCGATTTTGACTGATTCTGTAGAACATTTTAAAAAAAGAGCTGTAAGGTCTCTGATTGCATTAGATGATTGAAATCATACAAACATCCAATCAATTGTGCCCAATCAGTTTGTGGATTGGCCACAAACTGACTTTTACTGAACTAAAAAAATGCATCCAAGTATAAGAGTTACCTCAAAGTAAGGTTTTAAAACCCCTTAAAACCTTTTTTCCCTTTAGTTCAAATACCTTTTAATAAAACGCTAAAATAAGTTAGAAGTTTTTTTTCCAGGCTGTTTGGGGAACATTATAACTCTCCTCCCCCAATATTCTATATTTTATATACAGTGTATCTATGAAAGTAACATTTCTCATAACTATACTGTGTGCAGTGACCCGAGGTCTGTTTGTGGTTCAGTATTTGCAGATTTTTCTGTGAAACATAATGGCAAATTACTTGTGACAAATTCTCCAATTGCCAATTTTTTTCTAAAATATTTGAAAGAAAATATTTGAGAAGCTGAAATACCAAGCACCATTTATCTCCCTTGGTGCTGATTGTCTGTATACCCAAATAAGTAAGACTTTAGCTATTGGCTTCCACCTGCATTGACAAAAAGGTTTCCCCTATGCACACTGTATTAGGGTATAACTAGAGTTTGAATAATAAAAATAGGCAGTTATTTGCATTTTCTGATGGGGTTTTTTGGCTATGGTCCAAATAATAAATACCCCCAAAAATAAATCAATTCCTGTTTATCACCAAACTGATCTGACTGACTGATGAGTGCATTGTGCATTTCAGTGCTTTGATAATCTCAGAGCTGAGAACGTATTAACAGTTCAAAAAGTGACATTCGAAACAATTGTAACTGTTTTTGTGGTTTGCAAACATCACAAAATACTGATAATTGTAACTGTTTTCACAAAACGTGCCCCTGTTAATGCTAAACGACATGGTTATCGCCCTTCCTTTCTGCACGTCTCTTTTTATGTCCAGGAGTGTGACTACCTTGAAAAATACTAACAAGGTTTCACAGCATTCCTCTAAAAAGTAGATATTATTCCTGCATGCAGCTAAATGACATACAATAGAATCATAATATGCTTATATCAACTGGTTAAGGAGCCAGACTAGCCACTATGCCTGAGAGAAAAGTGTAGTAGACTTCTTTTACTCAGCTGGCAAGCAGTTCAGCAATATGTGGGGGAGGAGCAGTATCACTCTCAGCTGAGAGCAATTCTGGTCACTTTTTCCCATGTTGTTAAGCAAATTTTAATCCATATGAAGGTTATGACAGAAATTTGTACCTTCCAACTTTAAGGCTAATTTAGTTTTTTATTTCATTGAAATTCAATTTAATTTGCTCTAAATTTCAAAGCAAAACCTATTTATCGTGAAACCATGCTTCCTCAGCGATCAAGTCGGTGGCTTGAGTTTGCTGCAGTTGCACCAGCCTAAATGAGACTTATTTTTGTCCGTCTGTGCGTTTTGTTTATGGCCGTCTCAATGACCGATGCTTGCCCCTGATACCTTTGTAATGACACTCCAGCGCAATAATAACTGACTACAGCACCACACAAACACACACAGCAGAATAGCTGCCTTGGGTCGCAAATATCATCTGACCTAAGCAGGCTGACACCAGGCATGGCTCCCGCCTCTCTGAGTGATAAGTCTGACCATAATAACTATGGTATGACACTATAATTAAAGCCGCAGCCACAGTCACAAAGATGATCCTCTAATAACCTATTCAGACCTGTCCCTAGTGAAAAAAAGCAAACAAGAAAAAACAGCTATTAAAACACAACCTCAGACCTAAAAATCTGCACAGGAAAGCAAGGCCTGCTGTCACCCTGGAGCTAAAAGTAGCTCCAAGAAAACAAGAAGTGAAAGAAGAACAAGCGAATCGGTCGAAGGAGCGAACAATAAAGCACCAGTAGGGGGGCAACAGCAACAAACTTTATCTCGACACTTAACCTGTCTGTGGATTGAATATTGAAGTCAAAAATGCTTCATTATCAACAATACCCGACATAAACTTTAGACTTTTGTGGAACAATCTCATCCCTGAAGACAAAGCCATTTATACTGACCACGGGTGTCGCATTATCACGTGTGAGGGGTGAACATGCTCAGCTGTCAATCCTCAAAGGCACGAAGCTGACCTATTTGTTGGGTCGTAGAGGTCGTCTGGCTATGGGAGTGACTCTGCTGTGTCATGAGACTTGTCACGGAGCACCAAGTTGGAGCCACTACGATCCAGATGCGCACCAACAGGCCTGTAAGTGGCCCGTAGCAGCCATTCGAAAAGGAGAGTACACAACTAAAACACAAGGAAAGCTTGGGATTTGTGGTTCCAAAGATGTATATCTGTGTGTGTGTGTGTGTGTGTGATAGTGTGTGCAGCTACATCTGGTGAGATGCAGTGGATATCAACAAGTGGACTGTATCGGCAAGCTGAACACGCAACATGACTCGAGGCCTTGTAAGAAGCTACAAATCAAATATTTTACACATTCACATGCTCTCGTTCCAGCACAGGGATGGGCTGGAGCATTCACATAAGCCTGCTCATTAGGTCACTGGGAAAGACTAACAACTGTCTGTTTGTTCCCATCACTCTGTGTGTGTGCGTGTGGGTGTGTGTGCGCGTGGGTACGTGTGTTGAAGAGAGAGAGACAGAGAGAAAGCAAAAGAGAGAGAAAAAGGGAGAGATCTGCTGTTCTTTTCAGTGTATCAGAAATCTCGCTTAAGAAACAGGTTTGCAAAACCATATGCATGCTTTGAATGAAAACAGTCAGGAGACAACTGATAGCTTATCACTGGGATCAGCTTTTGGGTGAAACTCTGCTGCTTCCAAGGATTCAGGGAGGAATCCTGATAAAGACCATTCAGTAAGATCAGACACTTTTAGAATAAAATATTACTGAACAGAAGTGCTTTATTGATCCCACTCAGACAAATATGAATAACAGTAGTTAACAAAATGTCAAGATTGTAATTTGTAAATAGATAAGCATATTGATGGATGCAGACTGTAACAAAATTGTGAAATGTGTTTAAGTTGAAATTAACCAATCGGTCTTTTCTTGGCTAATACCAATTTTAGATATTTTTGGAGGTCTGATTTGCTGATTGACACTTCAAATATTGCCCTGCTGCTGTTCCTACAGTCTGAAAGTCAGAGAAAGCGTCAGAGTGACAGAGTCTTTCTCAGAGCATATGGAGAATATAGTAATTCATCGTTTCCCCTCCCCCACATGTTTCTGGGCACTACTGGTCAGCTAGCGGAAAGGCTTGTAAACGTTTTTCCTTGCTGAAACAAAACACAAATGTTGTCGAGTTGGGTGTTTACTTTTATTTCATAAGTCATATTAAATCTATGCATTGAAATCAAAACAAATGTTATGAGGTAACATTATGGCAACTTTGATGACTATTATGTCATAATATTTTGGCAGCTGTGGGAAAGTTTTTCTTGTCAAAGCTCAGCTAACTCCTCCATATATTCAAGCTAGAGATTAACAAATCAGGTTTCTATTTGTCTATACCATTATGTGTGTGTGTCTGTTTAATTTTTGTGTGATTTTCTTAGAAAGATCAGCTGCACATAAGTGTCAAAACTGTGCTATGGATCCTTTTGATTTACTTTGTAAGTTTGGAACCAACAGAAAACGAATAGCAAGATCCCTATTATAATACATCAAGACACACGCCCCTAAACTTTATTTTTAAATCAAAAATCAAGTTAAAGTACTTGCCATTATTTGATGTAATATCAGAGAAATGGTCGGAGTTCTTGGTAATGCTACGTTTAATTAACAGAATCTCAAACGCAGGATGTTTGGCTTTGATCTGCCAATAAGAGAGCAGAATCGGTGAAAACTGTCCGATTCCGATCTGTGATTGATCGATTTGTCTCTGGTGTTCATGAAAGTGATGGGTTCGCTCCCCTTGAGGCTTGATTTGCGGTAACGCTGCTCAGGCGCACTTACCTTCATCCAGCAGCCGCTCCAGATGCGTGAAGATGCCGCTGAAGTTGGGCAGGGAGCTCATCACCTTCCTGTCGTTCATCAGCTGCATCAGATAGTCCGGGTTGGACTTGGGTCTTTCCTTCACCTCTGTCTCCCCGACCATGGCTTTTGATTCGGGTGACCTAGCTAGCAGGGAAATCCTATCAACTTTTCTTTTAAATAAAAAAAAAAAGCGACGATCCCAGGGGAGAGAAAGGGGGTTCCACCAGCCACGACCCGCACACTACCGGACCAGACTCGACTCTCAGCTCCGGGCACAGCGGACTGTCCCTCGGTTCGTGAGTCCTGTCCTCTTCAACGGTTCTCCCCCCCAACCCCTCGGCTCGGCTCTCTCCAGAGTTTTGAAAAAGTTAAGGGGGGAGTTTGGCACTTGTTTGACACTTCGGCCGCCTCCGCCTTGCGCTCCTTCTGCTACAGAGCTACCATCAACTGGTGCCCTCCGCCCCGGCGACCTTGGCTCGTGTCTCCCCGGTGTGTCGGTATTCGGCGGCGGGGTCCGACTCCCTGTCATATGATTACAGTACAGCACGAGAGGACTGCGGCGAGCGCGCAGCGCGTCGCCGATATCAGAGGGAGAGGGAAGGAGGAGGAGGAGGAGGGGGGGGGGGAGGGGGGGGAGGCTCGCGCCCCTCGGCTTGCCCCCGCCCCTCCGCCTCATTTTCTGCCGCGCGCTCACGCACGCGGACACCCCACACTGTCTGTTAAAAAGCCCATAACAATATAACCGGCCACTGAAGATATGGCCACCTGTTCTGCAGCAGGCGCTGTCTGTCACTATTTATTTGTATTTATTTATTTATTTATTTTTAAATAAAACTTAGGGACATTCAGGTACCAGAAACTGCGGGATTTGGGGTTGATTTAACTCCTACAGCGTTAGATCTTTATTCATTTTCTGATTACATCATTACTGCAATTTGGTACTGAAGTGTGAATATCCAATGAACTGTGTTATATTTCCACTATTACTACCACAGTCTTAACAATTTAAAAAATATATCTACAAATTAAATCTGAGAAGTGTGGTGTATGTTGTCTTCGGCAAAAAACTGTTTTTGAGGCCTCCCCCATATTCTCTCAATGGATTAAGGACTGAACTATGACTGTGCCATTCTGAAATAAGAATATGATTTGATCTAAATGTCAGCACCTATGCTATTGTAGCTTTATGTCGTACGGCTAGGGTTACTGTCCTGCTAGAAGGTGAAGCTCTACCCCAGTCTCAATCATGTTGAGGCCCTTACTTACTCTGATTAGTGCCATTTATCCCACAGAATGATGCAGCCACCACCATGCTTCACTCTGGTGAATAGTGAGTTCAGTTTTAGGCCATATAGTTGTTGTTTTTTGTTGTGTGTGTATAGCTAAAAAGGTCTGTTTTGACTAGTACTTTTTTTTTTACTATTTGCTAGTTAAAAGTTTTCTGTAAGTCATCTCATGCTCTGGATTTTATTTATCACAGTAAAGATGTATGAATTTCAAAAAATGTAGCATTTTTCCCATTTTAATCTGTAAAAATAAAAATGAAGAAGAGCAAAGAAAAACTAACTACCATGCATCCTTTTCCTGCCATGTTCAACTTATGTGCTAGTTAGTGTTGGTCCATCAAACAAGGCTTGCAGTTGTGTGACAAAATATGCAAATCTCAATCAGTGAATACAAATGCATCTTGTTTTAATACATTTGTAGTTTAAATTCCCAATGACATTTGCATAAACAATATTTACATTTTACACATTTTAAATGCAATCAAATAAATCAACAAACATAAAGCAACAGAAATTATGTCTTGTTAGATAAAAGAAAAATTGTCCTACCTATCAATTTTGAATCAGAAATTGTGTTCAACCAGCTGTTAACTTTTAGTTTTCTTTACTATTGTGCTTCTGTAATTTCACACAGAGAAATAAGGTCTGTGTAAGATTATTTGTTTATTTTTTTTTATATTTCTTTGACTTGAAAAACTTGAACTTAAAAGTTTGTGGGAAATATTAGAGTGTCTATATCCACAAGTTTTGTGAGAGTATGATTTGTTGTTAGGCAAGAATTTGATCCCAAAAAATATCTGACTGAAGTTGAATAACATGGAGCTGAAGATTTCCACAAACACTAAGAGATTTTATTTTTCCAGACGAAGACATTTTTTTCTTCTGAGAGAAAAAGTGGAAAAATAAACAAAAAAAAAATTATGTAAAATAATAGCTTTATCCATTCTTACTAATTGGTTGTTAAATAGCTTATTTCTTCAGCTTTTATGAAATAAATAAATCAGAACTTTAACCAGGATGATGTAGATTTAACTACTTATGTCGAGCAATAAGCAATAGACGTAAATAAATCAGCAGTGGAATGACACTTGAAGCAAGTAGTTCCATGTCATAAAAAAGTGTCACTATGTGGAGGTCCTTTTTTAATCTTAACAGGGATTCCCGTCCATGTGAAATTTAAACGTGTTATTGCTTACAGTCGTGTTACTGGTTTGTGATCCTGTTTAGCTGAGGAACCCGTTCCCCCTCAGCCTCCACTCTGAGAACATTTGTCCAGGATCCTGAAATAATACAAAGGTGTGAGAGGTTGTGTTTGTTTTCTCTGGGTGGCTGCTGCAACCTATGGGCTGCAGAAATGTTGCCACTGAAGGGGCATAGATAGATGCAAGGGTCTAAACTTAACTTGCTGCAAGTTACACACACACACACACAACCACGCCCACACACACACACAGAGAGAAAGAAGAAGGGCAGTGTTGAAACAATTTCAGTGTATGCCTTGGATTAAGCTTTTTATCATTCACTGCTGCGCCTCCCACCAGGTTTCTCTCTCTTGTTCACTGTTTGACTCAGAGCATTTCAGCTTGTAAGACTAAACTTATCCTGGAGGTCATCTGCATGTGTGTGTGTGTGTGTGTGTGTGTGTGTGTGTGTGTGTGTGTGTGTGTGGGTGTGTGTGTGTGTGCGTGTGCGTGTGTGTGTGTGTGTGTGTGTGTGTGTGTCAGAGCAGTAGGAACGGTAACAGGACAGCAGAGCTGGTAATGGCTGGTCAGCTGGTATGGCGAGTATTCAGGGCGGGGGCAGTGCATTGTCCTCTCATAGCTCCAACAATGCCCTTCTTCTAGCCCAACACATCTACCAGTCACGGGCGCTCTCTGCTCTGTCTGCCATAGTCACTGTAAAGTAAGGTGTGTGAGCGGCGTTCCCCAAGACCTTAAAGGAAACACCTGACACACATGGGATCACACCCTGGAAGTTCATTTGCACCCTGAATTAATTAATGCTCTCCTTGCCCAGCCTTTCAGTCCAACTGGAAGGTGATGTTTTGGTAGGTTTACCATGTTGGACTGATCACTGCTCAATGAGTTGTTCAATGCCTGCTTTAAACTTCTCCAAAACATTACCCCTAGTCTGTCTGCTGCGTTCCTCAGTCTTCATGACGTGGCTTCTTCACTGATGTTCTCTAACAAACCTTTAAGGCCTTCACACATGAGCTGCATTTATACTGAAATTAAATCACACACCAGTGGACTCTATCCACTAAATGAAAGACTTCTAAATATAATTTAACTGATCTTACTTTATTTGAGGTAACAGAAGGAAGAGGGCTAGAACACACATATCACATTTTTCTAATTGATATTGATAAAAAAAATAAAAGCATGTTTCCTTTTCCTCACTTCACAATTATGCAACACTTTGTGTTTGTCTATGATATAAAATCCCAATGAAATACATAGTTTAAAGTGGATGAATACTTCTATACTTTCTATACTTCTATACTATATTTTAACTTGTAGAGTTAAAATACAATTCTTAATTGTCAGTTCATTTAAAGGATGCAGGTAAAAAAAAAAATAAAAATCTGATGTTAATTTGTTACTGAACCCTGAAAAGAGCACTAATTTTCTGCAATATATTTCTTACATAGTTCATCATTCATTTGCATTTTGTTTTTCCTGTCTTAGGTGAGATGAGATTTACTCCCTTTCACTTGGAATATTTTTGTTGAAGTTTTAAAATGCACCTTCTAAAAAAAAATCCTTATTATTGAATAAATGATGCTATAATTATGTATTTTGTAGATGTTTTATTGAGATACAATTGATCAATTATGTCTGGAGTCATGATAATTATTATTAAGATCGTCATAGGGAATTTTTTACCCCTCAAAGAACTGAATTAAAATGCTAATCAACAGATTCGTCTTCCGTGAAAGACTTTTTTTTTATTATTTGAAGTTTTTTTTAATCATCTAACTAAAAGTGATAGAAGTCAATTATATCTACTTGGGGTTAGCTATAAATGTTTTATTTCTAAAGTTTGGATGAGTGTGTAAGGAGCAGACAGGGTACATCATGATGAAAACACGCCCTCTTGTGGCCTCTGATGTGACTGAATCAGTTCTAACTGGATCTTCCATCTAAATAAACAATCAGCACTCCCGAATGTTTCACAAGAGTCTTGGAGGATGAATGAATTAGATTTGCAGTGACACGTCCATAAAAATAGCCTCAAAAAGGAAAAACACTAGCAGGTTAGTTTACAGTAAATAAGCATATAAAATTACACGCACTTCTACATGAGTAAATGTCAAAATCTTACATGCAGTTACAAATGTAATTTAATTTTTACTTTTATTGATTCCTTTGAACTTTTACTTCGGTAAAGGTTAGGGTTGAAGTGGATCTACAGCTGTAAATTACATCAGTTTGTCTTGAAAGCATTACAAAAGCATTACAAAAAGCTTTAGGACTCTAGTGAACCATAGTATAAACCGTCATCCACAAAATCTTGATGGTCCCAAAGTCTTTTGTAAAATTATTTTCTGGACGTCTGATACAAAAATGTACGTTTTTGGAAGGTCTGCTGCCTGTAACATCTGGAACATAACTAACTGTGTTTCACAAAAAGATCATTCCAACACTAAAGCGTGATTGTGGTAGTGTGATGGTCTGGGCATGATTTGCTGTTTTAGAACCTGTATTAATAGAACAATTAATTCTGTTCTGGAGATTTTCCGGGCTTCACTTTGTGCCCTTAAGCTCAAGCACAGCTCCAGTACATAGCTGGACAGTGAATCAAGGCACACTGGCAGGTCGGTGGCTAAAAATTAACAACCCAATGTTAAGGTCTGGGAGTGGTCTAGTCAAGGTATCACCCTTTAACGGCGCAGTCATGCTTAAAATCCTCCAAAGAGGCTGAATTAAATCAATTCTACATAGAGTAGGCCAATGTTCAGTGACATAAAAGGTTATTTGCCGGAAACAATAAGTTCTAGATGGTAGTTGTTGCCACCAAAGTTTGGCGCAAGCAGTTATCAGGTTTGGAATTGGATGGGGCCAGTTTGGTTGAAAATGACTTTTCATGATAGACTCTCAAGAGTGTTTAAAAATGAAGAAAACAAAGGGACTCTACAAGAGAGCTATTTCTTGTACATGGCCCTTTTACCAAACAGAATAAAAGTGTTTATTCACCTTTTAGCTGGTTTTACACCTTATTTTCATTTCATCTTCCCCTGATCTCCACTTTCTCTTGCCTTGTCTTGCAGCGGCTCCTCCTCC